CTCTGTCCTCTGTCCTTACTCTGTCCTCCATGTCACTCTGTCCTCACACCAACTGAACTCTGCATCTCCATAAAGTTGGTCAGCAGCATCTATCAGGAAGTCTCTAAAACTTCCTGGTAGATGCTGCGTTGACCTTTGACCTCAGAAAACACAGTGGACCAACAGCAGCAGATGACACGGCACCAAACCATCACTGACTGTGGAAACTTGACACTGGACCTCCAGCAACATGGATTCTGTGCCTCTCCTCTTCCTCCAGACTGGACATGCACATTTCATTTTCCAACAGGACGTGGCACCTGCACACAGTGCCAACCCTACCAGTACCTGGTTTAAAGACCATGGTATCCCAGTTCTTAACTGGCCAGCAAACTCTTATGACCGTAACCCCATAGAACATCTACTGAGTATTGTGAAGAGGAAGATGTGATGCACCAGAGCCAACAATTGAGAAGAGCTGAAGGCCACGATCAGAGCAACCTGGACTCTCAGAACACCTGAGCAGTTCCACAGACTGATCCACTCCATGACACGACGCATCGCTGCAGTGATCCAGACACAAGGAGCAACGACTAAGTACTGATGCTGAACATGCAAGGCCGCATTAACCATACGGGTAACTGCCCAGGGGCCCACGATCTGTAAGGGGCCCAGAGCAGTGAGGGCAAAAGCAAAATATCTGGGCATCACCTGGAGCCCTGCGCTGCAGCTTCATGTGCCCCCCACCCCCCCCTTCCAGCGCCGCTGCTGCAGCTCTCGTTTTTTCTTTTTTACCGAGTCGGATCCTCCACGGCACAAATGTGAATGTGAAAGGTGTGAACGCACCCTTAATGTTAAAGAGAAGCTGTTGTAAGTTGTGCCCGTTAAGGTCGTTTTCACACCAGAGTCCGGTAGACTCGGTTCGGTTCTGGACCAATATTCATGACCTTTTGTTACATCTGAGCTGGTGTGTTTGCATTCACACTGCACTGTGCAGTCGAGTCAACCTGTTGAACCAACCTGTTGAAGCAACCTGTTGAGTCAACCTGTTGAACCAACCTATTGAACCAACCTGTTGAGTCAACCTGTTGAACCAACCTATTGAACCAACCTGTTGAAGCAACCTGTTGAAGCAACCTGTTGAACCAACCTGTTGAAGCAACCTGTTGAAGCAACCTGTTGAACCAACCTGTTGAAGCAACCTGTTGAAGCAACCTGTTGAATCAACCTGTTGAAGCAACCTGTTGAACCAACCTGTTGAAGCAACCTGTTGAGTCAACCTGTTGAACCAACCTATTGAACCAACCTGT